GGGCAGGTTTTTAGTGCTGTTCATCAGGAGTAATATTATTATTACTCTAAAGTGTGTTTAAAGGTGCGCCCACTTTTTCTACCCTTTACCTTTGCTAGTGTGGCCTCCTGGGTGGGGCAATGGATTGGTGTCAGGAGACCTGCCTCTTATTCCTGGCTCTGCCATTTCACCCCATGCATGAGCTGATCAGTTTGTTACATTTGCGTGCTCTTTTTTACCTGCTTCCCACCCTTTATCTTTGTCTGTTTAGACTGAGATCTCTTCAGTGGAGAGCACGTTGTCTCACCTATGTGTTTGTACACAGCACCAGGAAGTGATTAGCTTCTTTGGGGCCATTTTAATACAAATAAGTAGTAGTAATTATTTCTTTATCTCCCTTGTGACCAACCTTCTTCTTGTGACCTTTTTTTTTTTCTTGATGAACCTTGGTAACAGTGGTTCACAACCTTTTTAGGCTCAAGGCACCCCTCGATAGGACTTGAGGCATCCCTTGGAAAATGACAGCTCTTAGTTTACGTTTTGTTTTTGACTACAGGAAAATAATAGAGCAATTCTGCTGCTGCAGTGAACTCAGAAAGACCACAACAGGGCAGAATGGTTTTAACACTGTGGATTCCTATTTGAAATTTCTGGGTTTCTCTTACGAATCGTATTCAGACACCTACCACTGCTAACATTGTGTGGCATCCTACATCATCCTTGAAAGGATCACAAGGCACTCCTGGGTGCCATAGCGCCCTGGTTGAGACTCTCTGCTCTCTGAGATTCAAAGTGGTAGGTCTCATGTGGGGTCAACTTTAATAATAATGAACAAGCTACACTGAACACTGTGTAGGAAAATGCAAGCACTCATTCCTGCTGCAGTAGTATACAGATTCCATTTTTACTGATGTCTTTCTTTTCCTACAGACATTGTTGTTTTAACATAATTTCATTAATCCAGTCAATATGTACCCTACAGCAACGAGAGCTGTGTAGGATGTGCGCGCCCTGCAGGATTCCTTCTTGCTATAGATTTTCCACTACACCTGGTTGTGCTAATGTACTTGCAGGAAGGGAAAACACGCTCCCAGCCCTCCAAGAAGCTAAAATCCTGCACACCAATGAATGCTGTTTTTTTTTCCGACTCCACTTTGCAATATGCAACCCAGGTTAACAGTTGCTGTAGAAAGGGCTTTAATTGAAAGATGTTTAAGCCAATTCCCTTAACTGTCAAAGGATTTAATCCATGAATTATGTTTGCTACAGTTGTTAGGTTATTTCAGCAGTGCAGAGTTTAAGTACCTTTTGTGCACTGCCATAGGGGATGGATGGCAGCCCCTGACATTCATACACAGTTGGCTGAGAACAGTTGATAATGATGGATGAATGATGTCTTCGCTTATGCCTCTGAGTACATAAATGACTGCATTTTTATTTGCTTTGTAATCTGCACCCAATTACACATCTCAGGGTAAATATACATTTTTCAGTAAAATGTACTGTATTGACACCTTGAAGGACAATCCCTAAAATATATTCCAGCTTCTTCAGACCGGATGAAGACAACAACAAACTCATTTATATTTTTGGGCCAGTTGCCTTGAAACGCCCTGCTCTTCGCTGAACAAAACTGGCCAAAACTCGCCCACAGAACTCATTGCCTCTGCCTGTCCAGAAGCAGAACTGCCTTTACGAATGCAGTCAGATTCAGTTTTAATCTGTTTTGTTTGCAATAAAGCTAGACCATTCCTTACAGCAGTGGGGGCTGAGCTTTTTGGAAATCTTCCCACAAATTAGCTCTGTGCCCTTCTCAAGTGTCACTCCACTTCCTTTCCCTCACCCAGTCTCCTGCTCTGCCTTCTGCTTCTTGCCCTATGCTCCCTGCCTGACCTGATGCTCTGCTTTCTGCTCCCTGCCCTGTCTGCCACTGTGCTGCTTTCATATAACATCTTAGGCTTAGATCTTGAGAGCATGTCTACATTACAAACTTACCATTTCAAGCAGTGATGTCTTCAAACACACCTTGCTGCTATGATGAGCTTCCTACAGATCTGGAAGCAGTGTAGTCCTGTTTACATATTTAAAACAGTATTGCCATTCTTAGTGTGTTAAACACCCCAGACAAAAATTGCCATTATCCATTGAGAGATTAAGAAAATGCCTCAGTTTTTTGGTAAGCCAAATATTTCAACTGTGTTCTTTGTTATGAAAAAGTTGCAGTGCGTTTAAAAGACACACAATACTTTGTGAAAAAATCAAACTTAAACAGCACCATGGGGAAAAAAATGGCTTTTTTTAGTGTTAAGGCCTTTTGAAAAAGATTAAATTAATCTTTTAGACGGAAAAATTATAAACCTGTTCTACATATAAATTGTTGAATTAACCAAGAAAAGCAGTTCTCTTATAATAGGTTACCAAGCCATTTAGGGAATATATCACTACTGGAAAGATGATTGTCCTTTAAAATCTAAATCCCAGTAGGAAGCTGCAAATGAGAGAAATTTTCTGACCTAGTAGGAGAAGAGGTTTACTCCAACTTCAGATTGCAGGGGATAATAATATGACCCTAAGAATATCTGTAATCTTCCCTATCATGGTGGCCAGCCATTTGTTGAGAATCTGATATTATTTGAGGAGGGTTAGCAGTTGTGTGGTGCTGATGAAATCCCGAGCTTACCAGGGGCATGCCGTGTGATTGCCTGTGGTAGAAGGGGACTGGACCCGAGGCAGGACCCAAGAGATCCCTTCCAGCCCTGTGTTCATAAAACAGAAGGGTTGTCTTTTGTATGGACATTGAAGTCAACTGGAACCACGTGGTTCAATAAGCAATATGTAGCTCAGTATTTGCCCAGGCCAGTTCATAGTAATAGATTCTGGATGCTTGTCTATGAAAAGCACATTGGACAGAAGGCTGGAGTATGCATGGATAGAAGTGGTTCAGAGAAAGAGTTCAGGGCACGGTTCATCACAGAGTTAAGGGGATGGGGCTTTATTGCACTTCAGATACTCCACAGTAGCTGTCCACTCTTACCCTGTAGTAAAGGGAGAGGTAGTTAGCTATGCTGTAATAAAGAGAAGCTAACCTGTGGTTGCTTAGCCTTCAGTGAAAGAAGCTAGCTTCCTTTGACCTGGTGCAACGACCACACTCATGGATAGCTGCCAAAATATAGCTGACATCTCCACCCTCCTTTCCCTCAAAGAAACCCTTTTGCGTCCATGCACTGAGCCAGAAGATGGCTATAGTTTTCATTCAGGCTCTTAATGTTTGCCTATCCACTGTTCTTCCCTGCGGCAGTTTAGCACTGTCCAAAGTGCTACTCTCGAGACTGGGCAGAAATAAGCCTTATTATCCAGGTGAGTCACAGTTGTGCTCCAAAGTGAAGCAAACCGCTCTGTTTGTCCCTTGTGCCTGTTACGTAGGACGGCTTTCGAGTGTGGTGTTTATCTCGAACACGATGCTGTTATGAGAGCATCATGCTCTCCACAAGACTTAATGCAACAGAAACTCAGCTACTAGGCAGAGTATCAAAAGTGCAGTTTTGTTTCCAGGAACAGTGGCTTACTGGTTATTTTTTTCACTGGTTCCTGGGTTATTACATTGTTTTGATAATCTTGGCAGGGATCTGTCACTCTGTGTTGGTATAATTGAAACTCGTTTTCCCCGAGGAATCGCTCTGCTGCTTGGTTTATTTGTTTACTGACATTGACAGAGATCCTAATGGCTTTTAAAACCCAATTTGTGCATCGCTGAATATCCTCCAAAGAGGAAAATAAGATTAAATTTATCAGTAAAATAAGGTTCTCCTTGCAGTGTTTTGGCTGGCTCTTCTTCTCTACCTGAGCAAATCACTGTGGGCTCAAAAGCTGTATGGGGGCCCTCTGCAATATGCATCTCCATTTTGATGTTATTTTTGCTGGCTTCAAGTTCTCAAGGGGATAAACCACAACAAGTCGTTTACGACCTCGAGAGTTGTTGGCCAGCTTTTCCTTTGTGTGCTGCTCTTTGTCTTCAGCTCATGGCAAACTGGAGCCAGCAGAATACAAAATAAGTAAAGTGAAATAAGTCTTGTTTTGGGAAAGCTTTTACTACCTTGCCACCTCCAAATGCTGTGATAGTTATTATGAAATGTGTATCAAAAGCATAACAATCATGGGTCCTGATTTACTGCAGTAGTTAAATATTTGCCCAGCTTCAAACACATGAATACGCTCATCGAAGTTGGGAGGACTATTTCAATATTTAAGTACCTTGCTGAATTGAGGATGTAGATGGATACAGGGTGTGTCCTAAAGATCATGCATATCCATCAATGACCCCAGGCGGGACAGCAGTTCAGGAGGGAATTCTTACTGATGAGAAGGAAGGAGGAATTTCTTGAAGTTTTCATTGAAGGAAGAAAACGTTAATGGAGTTTTTTAATATCTAAAAAGCATTGGCTCAGTTTCTGTTTTCAGTAGAGGATCAGATAGCTTTTTTATTTTATCAAAGCAATCCCTAATTATTTCCTGAACTGTGTTCTTTGTCAATAATACAGGGCTTGCCAAGATTTCTTTGACCCTGAATGTGAACATCACAAGGAGATATGTTTTGAAAATTCTGCTGGTTTTAAAGGTTATCTGTCAGGTTGTATCTATGTAACTGAGATGCAAACTGAGACTGACTTCACATCTGAAGTGTAACGTCATACCATCTTGCCTGCCTTCTTCTATCCCCCTCTAGTAGAGCTCATTGGTTTTGGTAGCACAGTGGTAAGAGGTATTATAAATATTGTAATCCCATTATATCCTTATGTGCCTTGCAGAGGTGGGCAAATAGCATTATCTCCTTTTTGCAGATGCCAGAATTGAGGTTCAGAGAGTTAACCCTAACCCTAACCCAAAGTCAGATGATGAGCCAGTGGGAAAGTCAGGGATAGAACATAGCTCCCGTTTCCTACTTACCTGTTATAATCGCCCAGATCAATAGCAAAATATGTGACAGTACTTTATTTCAGTCTTCCCTTTCTATTGCATTGCAGTGCCGAAGACAAGGATTTTAGCTACTGGGGGAGCATCTCATAATAAAGAAATTTTACAGGTAAGTGTGGAACACTTGAGTTTATCAGTGTTTTGGATGAGGGGTTGAAAGCACTCTGTCCAAATTTGCAGGCAACACCAAACTACGGGGTACAGTAAATGTGCTGGAGGGCAGGGAATGAATCCAGGTGGATTTGGATAGACCGGGAAAGTGGGCAGATCAGTATAGGATGCAGTTTAACATGGATAAGTGCAAGGTGCTGCACCTAGGGAGAGAGAATCTCCAATACACCTATAGACTGGGAAGTACCATTCTGAGTACCACGGCAGTGGAAAGGAATCTCAGAGTCTTGGTCAACGCAAAAATGAACGTGAGTTGCCAGTGTGACGAAGTTATAAGTAAGGCTGACCACACTCTTTCTTCCATTAGTAGGTGCATCACAAGCAGGTATAGGGAGGTGACACTTCCCCTCTATGCGACACTGGTCAGGCTGCAGCTGGAGTACTGTGTCCAGTTCTGGGCGCCGCACTTCAAGAGGGATGCAACTAGCATTGAGAGTGTTCAGAGAAGGGGTACTCATATGGTTGAGGGCCTGTGGGTAAGATTATATGAAGACAGACTGAGGAACCTGAATCTCTTCAGCCTCTGCAAGAGAACGCTGAGAGGTGATCTTGTGGCTGTCTACAAACTCATCATGGTGGGGAGGTCAGCAGGGAATAGGGGATACTCTGTTTACTAGGGCGCCCCTCAGGGTTACTAGAAATAATGGCCACAAACTAAAGGAGAGTAGATTTAGATTGAATATCTGAAAGAAATTATTTACGGTGAGGGTTGCCAAAATATGGAGTGGGCTTCCAAGGGAGGTGGTGCTTTCCCCTACCCTGGAGGTGTTCAAGAAAAGGTTAGACAGGCACCTAGCTGGGGTTCTTTAACCTCAGCGCTCTTTCCTGCCTGGAGCGGGGGGTCGGACTCGATCTACGAAGTCCCTTTTGACCCTAGAAATCTATGCAATCTATGAGTTTGTAAGGAAATTGCGTTGAACTGGGTGGTCACAGTTGCAACACTAGAGTTTTATCTACATGTATTGAGCACAAACAACTATAGTTAATTCATAGACTGTTTACATGTTTGTGAAAACATTGGTGATTTCCAAGCTTCATAACTTGAGTCATATTACTTGATCAAATAAACTGCACAGTTCTTGGGAAGAGAACATTTTATGTGGCTTTAGTTAAAAACAAAACAAAAAAACAAAAACCAGACAACTCTTTCCTTCTCCCCCAGAAAAATTCAGTATTGGACCATTGGTCAATGTTCAACACTTTGGAAAATCTTCACCTTCCATACTTGGGACAGGTCTGGCAGTCAAACCTCTGTTTGCTCACAGATCAGATATTTCACATTGCACCATTAGTGCATCTCAGTACTAGTTCACCATTGGTGCATCTTTGGCAACTACTGCATAACCAGCAGGTTAGGGCACCCAAGGGAATCCATACCTACCCCAGCCCTGGAACAGTGTCCACCTGGGAGTGCAAGGAAGCCTAGGGCTTCCATTGGAACACTTACATATCTGTACACCAATGCCAGGAGCTTGGGGAACAAACAGAAGAAACTGGTCCTCCTGGTAAGCAAGAAAGACTAAACATGCTTTGCAGAGGAAAGTTCCATTTGGCTGGGTGCCCAGGGAACTACAGTCTGCAGTGCATCCCTCCCCACAACCCTCTCCATGTGCCCTGCAGCTCCTGATCCAGCAGTGCTGACAGGTGTAGTGCACTGAATCAAGGTCTGCCACTACTGCTTCAGCAAGCTCATTCAAGTACAGCGTAGGCTGGTGTGGAGTGTGATGAGTGGCTATGGTCATGAGCATCTTCAAGCTCTGCTCCCTGTTCTTGTCTGCCAGCAGCTATGTGGCCACCGAGAACACTGCTGTGCCGGATGGCAGGCAGGGCAGTGTTGCTCTGGGCCACTTGCGGGCCACCTTCTGCTGCTTTGGGGCACTTGAGACGAGCATCAGTGGTTGGGAGCACGTTGTCCTGAGGTTCTGGGCTGATGAGCAGTAGCAGGAGAAGTTCAGGATGCACTAAGTCACCAGGGGGATACCTGCCAAGCTGTTCCTTACCCTGGCATGCCAGGGGATCAACATAAGGGCACCCCTCACTGTAGAGAAATGTGTTGCCATCACCAGCTGGAAGCTCAAGGCCCTTGACTTCCTCTGCTCCCCTGCCAACTAGTTTGGGATGGGCAAGTCCAGAGCGCATGTGGGAGCAGTGTCTGGTGTCCAGTGGGTGCTAGTACTGGGATCACCCAGCTTAGCAACCCACGGGAGATCAGCAGTGGGGGAGGATGCTGCCAATCTTACAGAAGTTTCATCAGCTAAGTGCATGGGGGCTCATGTGCTGTAGCAGCCCCTTGCACTTGCAGCACGATGCTCAGCCCTGGGCCTCACCTGACATTATGACACTTTGTGTAACATACACACCTCCTGGCAGTGCTGTCCATGGTGTGGCCCTTGGCTAGCACAGTCCTGCACAGCTCTGACTCTCCCTCCACTTCAGGAGAGGGGCTGATGGGGTTTCCCTCTATTCTAGTTGTACCCTTTACCACGAGCCAGTTTTGAATTTCCTGCACACAAGCTCAACCACCGACATGTTCTTGCTCGGTGCCCTTAACTGGTTGCACCAGAGATCCAGGTGCAATAGGAACGTGTGTTTTGCATAGCAGGATGGCTTGGGAGGTGGGTGGGTGCTGGGTTTTTTGGGTGGGAATGATTCTATCTTTACAAAGAAAGATAGTACTGAGCTGTAAGTCTGCAGGGCAACTTATGAGCCTGGGTCCATGTCCCTGGGGCAGTAGAGTTCAGCATGACAAACAGACTCCTTGAAACCTTCAGAAGAAGGGGTGAGGAGCAAAGCTTCCTGGGATGCTGGAGGACTGAGCCATGGCATGTGGCACTATGTGTAACATTACACATGGTGCTGGAAAAGTTTACAGTGCTGATGATTTATTATTCATAGAAATCATAGAAAAGTAGGGTTGGATCGGACCTCAGGGGGGTCACATCTAGTCCAACCCCCTGCTCAAAGCAGAACCATCCCTAACTAGATCATCCCAGCCAAGGCTTTGTCTAGCCGGGTCTTGAAAACCTCTAAGGATGGAGGTTCCACCACCTCTCTGGGTAATTTGTTCCAGTGCTTTAGTACTCTCCCTAGTGAGAAAATTATTCCTAATGTCTAACCTCAACTTCCCTTGCTGCAACTTGAGACCATTGCTCCTTGGTTCTGTCATCCCTGAGAATAGTTCTCTGGGATCCTGAAAGGAAGGATCTTCAACGTCATCATAAATCTGCCCAGATGTTGGCTGCTGTCTGAAAAGAATGATGTTTTGGAACCCTTC